AGAAGATAAACCAAGTCTTCCAGTAGCAGTCTGATATACTTTTTCTAGCATTACCATTTTGATACAGTAAATGAGTAGGCTCAAGAGATAGTCACAGGAGACAAGAAAATGCTCCACTGTTGGGACATTATCTGATTTCCAGAAAGAAGGATTCACTCTGTATTTTCTGCCCCTCAGCTCTCCCTTGTCTATCTCTAATTCTGAAAAACTCTTCAAAACAAACAGTTCTGTTCAAAAGTGAATATTCCTCAGGGATTCCAGCATCCAGGTCTGAAGGAGATATTTGCAAGCTCAAGACAAATTAATACTAAAAAAGATGGGCCATGCTTATCTGGGGAATTGTCCTCTGACTAAAAAGGTAGATCACTTTTGGGACATCACTTGTGGAAATGCAGCCACTGAATTCCATGAAATTCAAACCCATGAAGAGGCCAGGTCTAAGCCTTCCAGTATAAACTCACCCCAATCAGTGACACAGCTCCCAGCCATACCAGCATCAACTGCTGATTGTGTGAGTGACCACTGTGAGCATCCTGCCCCCTGGGGCCATCACCCCATGTGACAGTAACTTGGCTGGACTGTGTTGTTCAATTGTTTGGTCAAACACAGGCCTGGAGGTTACTGAGAAGTTACTTTGTAGATATGATTGGTATTTAACTTTCAAGTAAAGCAGTTATCCTCTATAATTTGGGTAGATCATATCCAATCAGTTGAAGGGCTGAATAGAACAAGACTAAATCCCTTGAACAACAATGGCTTCTCCAGCAGACACACTTCTGACTTGGACTGCATCATGGTCTCATCTCTGAGTGTTCACCTGCTGCATAACTTGCAAGCTTTGGTCTACCCAGCTTCCATAGTCATAGGAACAAATTCCTGAAAGTTCTTTCCCTCCACCACTCTGCCTCTCCTCAGAAACATACTCATGCCTCATATTCTGTTGCTCTGGAGAATTCTGACGGGTAAATATACCACTACTGCCGTAACTACAACTTTATGGATACACAAATGCAGCTAAAAAGGTGCAAGTCTGGCAAGCAAGAGCCACCCAGCTCAGCCCAATCAACCCCAGAACCACGAAGAGAATCTGAACCATGTTAAACCTGAAAAGTTGGGCTGATCTGTTATTGTGATAAACAGCTGGAAAACTCAACTAAACTGGATTTTTTGCTCAGAACCAGAGAACCCTCACAGTGTATTATTTTCCCATGTGGCTTGCACATTGAGGGCCAGTGTTTTGTTGTCTCCGGATTCCTCTAGCAATTCCACTTCCTGGGGGAGTGTGTACTTTTCTCCTTCAGACTAATTCTCTGCTTTGACCTTTTAAAAGCTTCAAGCATCTGCACAGAATCTCGCTCCATGATGACCTGGAGACACAAGAAGCAAAGTCCCTTTCAACATAGGTTCTGTGATGATTCGTGCTATAACCATTTGAAGTTCAAAACAAGACTCTCCTCAAGACTACACAACATTAAAGTTTCTGTCCTTTCATTACCAGTATTTGGAGGAAAAGAGTCACATATTGGTGTAACTTGGAATTTTTAGAATTCAGAATATATTTTTACTATATATCTCTGTACTAAGTGTATTAAAATCAAATATTTCATTTCCATTGTGAATTGGAATATTTATCAATATAAAATCTCTTTATTACCTTTACATCATGTCTAAAATCAATAAATCCAACCCATCTTTGTTTCTCCATTTGAAATAAAAACAGATGGTTAAAAAAAATTTTAAAACTGTTTTAGTTACTTCTTGCCAATGGGACAAAACAACCAACACCTGCAAATTGAAGGACGATGGGAAAATGTAGACATATTTTCTGCTAGAGCATAACACACATGGCCTCCAGTTCAGCTGCTACTGGAGTCCTTATTCCAAACTGAAACTTTCTGAGCCTGCCTACCCTTTACTGTTTGCATTCCTATCAATATTCTGGTCTTCTGAGCTCTGACCAGCATCACACATCCCTGACTTCCCACAATACTCTAAGGCTTCTCTAGCTCACTTCTCCAAAGTTTTCCAAATCCCTCCCAAAAACAAGTTCCAAAAGCTTCTAAAGCACATGGGCAGGTACAGTCATACCAACGATCCCACTTCCCTGGTATCAGTATATGTCTTGGTCACTTTTTGGACACTAGAATGAAATACCCAACACTTACAAATTGAAGGAGGAAAGGTTTATTTTGCTTCATGGTTTCAGTCCATGGCCATCCGTCTCAAAGGCAGAAACAGGACTGCAGAGGGGCATGGTGGAGAAAATGGTGCTCAACCCATAACAGCCAAGAAGCAGGAAGTTAAGGGAGCAGCCAGAATATAACCTTCCAGGTTAATCCCCTACCCCCAATCAGACCCCACTTCCAACAACCCATTCAGCTACTGAACTTCTCAATGGGTGAGTCTACTGAGTATGTCCCTATCTTGGTTACTTTTCTCTCATTGCTGAGACAAAATACCTGACACCCAGAATATCTGACACACTTCCTTAAGGAAGGAAAGCCTTATTTAGCTCACAGTCTGTGGAGGTTTCAGTCCATACTCAGTTGGCTCCAAGGCAGGGTGGTACATGGCAGAGGGCAACAGTGCATAGCAGAGGAAGACGGCAAAAGCAACAAGAGCAAAAGGGAGAGGAGTGGCCACAAGCAGCCTCTTTCTCTCCTTACATATGCAAACTATCTGCCCCAGGGCAAATGTGGCACTCACACCCATTATCCCAGCATTGGGTCATGGATCAATCATAAACTCTTAAAGCCTGCCCCATGACTGCAAGAGGCTTTGGGAGGACATCCAGACACAAACCATAACAATCTCCATGCTCCAATTACCTTCAACACATGAGAATTTTTAGGGATATTTTAGATCTAAAACATAAAAAGGCTAGGAATAATAATCTGAGCTTTTCATAAACAACATATATCTGACCTTTTCAGTCCGTACAACAGAAATTCTTTAGCCCAATTTGAGGGTCCAGCATGCTTTGATTTGTTTTTTAATGAATGAGCTTAGGTTATTTTCCCTGTATCTTGCCTAACATGGACTCTCTTACAATATTGTACTACGCTCCCAATTCTGGCTGTTCATGTATGACAGCAAGAGGAGTTCAGTTATCTGTGGCCTAAGGAATCATTCCCCAGGAAGTGTTCTTTAAAAAGAAAGTAGTAATCAAAAAATGGGCAATGTTTAAACCAGTTAAGCACTACCATAAACAAGTTGCTTGAGGACATCAAAATTGTACTCTTGTAAGGATTAGGTGATGTATGCAAATAACCTTAAACTCCACATATAGACCAGTGAAATCTAGTTTTTATTTGAATTACATTTTTTACTATATCTGATGTTTAGAGAACATACATAATGTTATATTCAGTAAAATATGTACTGTTTAAGAATAGTAACCTAGAACCAGAAATGGTACATGCTTGTAATCTCAGCATTCTAGGAAGCTGAGGCAGGAGAATCACAAATCCAAGCCCATCCTGGGCAATTTAATGATTTGGCAAAACTCTGTCTCAAAATAAATAATAATAATAATAATAATAATAATAATGGTCTGGGGATGTTGTTCAGTGCTAAGGCCCTGGGTTCAATCCCCAGCATGGCCAAAAAAAGAAAAAATCATAACCTGGAATCTATAAGGTAATCTGGATCATATTATTACACAGAGATGTAAGAAAGCAAACTAAGCTTTTCTATAGGTAGTTTTAATCCATTTGGCCACTATAACAGAATACCATCAGTTTGGTGGTTCTGAACAACAGATATTTCTTTCTCACAGTTATGGAATCTGGAAATCCAAGGTAGAATGCCAACACAGTCAGGCTCTGGTGAAAGCCCTCTCTGGGTAACAGATGGACACCTGCTCATGACTTCACCCAAAGGAAGGAAGATAATGAGCTCCCTGGATTCCCATTATAAGGGTGCTAATCAAATCATGGGCTCTATCCCATTGACCTTGAGAGGCCCCAGCTCCTAATACCATAACACTGGGGATTAGTTTTCAACATGTGAATATGGGGGGGACACAGTGGAATTTCTAAGGGGGCACACAATAAATTCCCCAGCTTTCCCATCCATTGGTTTCAGGACACCTGCAGAGAACTTATGAGGCCAATGGACTGATTTCATTGCTGATGAAGGCAAAGATGGGGAAGGCAACTTACTGTCAGAATCACAAATTAAACACACACCCACTCTATCATGGAATACAGAGGAGGCCCAGCCCTGAAGAAAAGCACAGGAGAATAATGTTCTTTGGAAAACTAGCACCTAAGAGGATGAAAATTACATGGATGGTATTTATGAATAGAAATATGTACCAACCCAGTAGCATTACAAAGCAGCAATCACATACTAGCAGTGATCAAAAACACAGAGTAAATGTTTAAATTTAATAAGTACATTTCCATTAGTCCTCCTCAGACAGGAATCTCTCGCTTTGAGCACACATATCCCATCATTCTTACCACTTTCAGAAACAGTTCTGGAAGACTCCTTTCGTGAGGGTCTTTGTGAGATATGATCAAAAATATAGGAAATGCTGCTGCCTAGTGCCATCCAGTGGAGAGGCAGGCTGGTAAAAACATGATGGTGTGCCTTCATCCACCTTGTGCACAGAACCGGGCACCATGTGCACTTGCCTAAAGTCAAACTGACCAGGAAGTGTAAACCTTTTGAATTGATTCAGATTGACAAGGTAGCCGTAACAGCAGAACTAAAGACTCACGAAAGAGGACTTTCAAAACTGCTTTGGAAAATGGCAAAAACAACGTGATATGTGTTTGCTAAGCAAGAGGGGAGGCTTTTGAGCTGGACTATTTCTGAGGGGGATTTATGACAGTGTGTCTTTTACTGTAATTTTTTAATTTAAGCATTCACTGTATGTTTCAACCACTTCTGGTAGATATTGCATTGCACCACAGAGATCACTACCATCCCACTAGACAGAATTACCTCCAGATGAGGGCGATTTAGGTGCCTAATACCTCTAGGTTGAATACCTCTCTGGGCATTGACCTTGATGGAAGAGATCTTCCTCATACAAGATTCAAAGTTTTATCCTCTTCCAAGTAAACACAGAGGTACAGACACCTGTCTGCTTTGCAACAGCTCAAGACAACTGCGGTGCATCATCTACTCCAGAGTTCCCTGTGGGTTAGTAGTTCAGCTTCTCCTGATTCCCGTTCCCTGGAATCTTCATCTTACCTCCTTCCATGGAGCTCAACCTGCAGTATTAATTGGCAATGGCCAAGTCAGTAGCAGTTGAGGAATATAGGAAGAATTCAATACCAGGAATCTTAGTAGATTGATAGAATGGATTACATGATAAAGGGAGTGAAAAACAAGAATATTATCAGTGGCTACCAGTGGACATTTCATGTAATTAATTAGCATATAATTCTTGATTTTAAAAAAATGTAAAATAGAATTCCATATAAAGTACTCACTTTGAGTTTTAAAGAAATTGCCCTCAGTGGGTAGTATACATACTATTGCACATTATAAAGATAACCTACAAAGAATTTAACATCATCAGATATTAGTAAGGACAACGTGAAAAGAAATATGTGAAAAGAAAAAAAACGCCTTCACCCACAGAAGCTGTGATTATATAACTATAAATCCAGAAAATACACAAATACAACTTTTCAGACATAACCAGATTTCTTCAGGTAAAAAATCATGTATTTAATACTGAAATTTATCTATAGAAAGCTAGAAATGAAAATGGAATTGTGATGTGTAATCTTGATGGTCAATTTGATTGGCTCAGCACCTAGGAGACTAGTGCAGCACACTTCAGGTGGTGTCTGGGTAGAGACGTTAGCTGCTCACCATGCGACTGAGGCCTATGAACCCAGGAGCCAAAAATAAAATTCTTATCCTTTAGGTTATAGTGTCAAATATTTTGTCCCAGCAGCAAAAGCTGGATGGTACAGGAATAAATGCCACTTATAATAGCAATAAATCTGTAGGATGTCTAGAAATAAATTTCCAAGAATAGTCAAAGGCCTATATATAGAATATTACACAATCTTTAAAATAAAGAGCAATGGACAAGACACATTGTATCCTTGGATGGGAACATATATAATTTATTACTGATAAATACATGAATAGAATATAACATTAATGTATGAATATTAAACATTCTCAATCAGAATTCAAATCAATAAGTTTTACATTTACCCCATCTACTTCAAAATTTATATATATTTCAATGACTTTATATCAGTTCCAACCAAAAAATCTGCTGGAACTGATAGTGAACTCAGTAAAGTTGCAGGATACAAAAGTCAAGGTACCAAAGTCTACAAAGTTGTGATTATATGGTATGAATAGTTCTAGAGATTTAATTATTATGAAAACCATTTCATTATGCATATCAAATCATCATATGTATACTTTAAATATAATCAATTAGTTAAAAGTAAAATCCAAACTAAGCATACAAAAATATGTTGCATTTCTATACACTAAATTCAAATTTAATACATTAAATGTGCTTAATGAAAAAATTCTGCAGAACCAACTGAGATAAAAGGAAAGGACAACCCACAAAGTGAGGGGATAATATTCACAAACTGTATGTTCAACAAGGGATTTGTACCCAGAATACATAAAGAACTCTTACAATGCAATAATAAAACGACAGCTCAATAAACAAGTGGCAAAGGACTTAACCATTTCTCTAAGCCATTCGTCCACATGGTCACAAAGCACATGAAAAGATGCTCAAAGTTATTAGTCATGAGGAAAATGCAAATCATAATCCCAATAAAGTAATATTTTGTACTCATCACAAGAGCTACAATAAATGAGACAGATGCTAACAAGGAGGTAGAGAGCTTCAAACTCTCGTACATTGCCAGTGAGGATGTAATATGATATCCCCACTTTGTGAAATAGTTTGCTATTTTCTCCAAGTTTTAATCATAGTTACCTATATCCAGAAATTATACTCCTAGGCATCTACCTGTGAGAAATGAAACCATATGTCTTCACAAATGTTCCATGAGTGTTCACAGCAGCCTTTTTGTAATAGCTTTCAAGGGAAAATAGCCCAGATGACAATCAACTGCTGCAGAGATAAGTAAAATGTAGCATGTAAATACAATGGAATGCTACTAAGCAATAAAAAGGAATAAAGTTGTGGTACCTGCTACTACATAGATTGACCTGAAAAGAAATATGTTAAATGAAAGAAATCAGACACAAAAGGATACATAAGCTCTGATTTCATTCAAACAAAATGTCCAGAATGGGCAAATCAGTGAAGACAAATAAATTAGCAGTTGCTTAGGGCTAATGGGAGTGACCACTGGGTGTGGGTAAGGGATTCCTTTTAGTGGTGTTGGAAATATTCTAGAATTAGGTTGTGGTGATTTTTGTGCAACTGTATAAACATTCCCCCAAATCCACTAAATGGCATGCTTAACACTGAATTTTATGGTATATAAATTATATTTCAACAGTTATTTTTAACTCAAAATTTAAGTAGGATCATGTTTAGATATATATTGACAAACAAAACTACTTTTATTTTAATAAAAATAAGTGAAATATTCTGATATACCAGTATTGAGTATAATTTAAGCATTTTTTTAATTTTAAAGAGAGTAGTAAATGAGAAAAAATAAACAAAAAATAGAATAGTAGCAGCATAGCAGTATCACTAACATAAACAAATCAGAGCAAGAACATTCAAAGTGATACAGGGTCTTAAGACAAAATAATATAAATCAACAGTGGTTGTTACATTGCATATCGCTATCCTCAACTACACTGCTCAGATTACCAGATGTAAGGATGAAAGATTGCTCAAAACATTAAAGAGAATAAGAAAATAATTCTTCGATAAAACATTAGAGATAATACAGAGTATCACTAGACAAGATGGTAGGAGTTCACCACTGTATTTCCAGTGCATATTGTTTCCTTCAAATCAGTTGCTCAGACCACCAGATACAAGCATGCAAAATCGATCAGAACATAAAAAATTGTAAACATTAACTGTTCATTTCAATACACCACCAGATATCAGCAATACAGCTATTGCAGCTATTTATATATATATTTATATTTTGCCTTCCTTCTTTCTTTTTTCTTCTTTCCCTCATCCCAGTCATTCTTTTCTTTGAGCAGTTTCTTTCCCTTTCCTATCATCTATTGTACATTTTGAGTTTTACCTAGTCTTTCAGGTTCTTACACCAAGGAGACAATAAGATATTTACACAACTGGGTCTGATTTATTTCACTTATGAGTATGGTCTCTAGTTGCATCCATTTACCTACAAAAACCCGGAGTTTATCTTTTTTAATAGCTGAGTAATACTCTACTGTATAAAAATACCACATCTCTTTTATCCACTCCTCAGTGGATGGGCATCTGGGTTGTTCCAAGATTTAGCTATAACAAATTGTGCTGCTATAAACATGGGTGCACATATATCGCTGTGGTATGATGTTTAAGCATACATTTTAATTTTATTTGTGTACAGTATCCCTAAGCCAATACAGGTTTATTAATCAGAGGAGCAAATATTCCTACATATTTAAGATTATAACTAATGTCAATTAAACTGCTTTGATGATGAATTTGCATTTCAACATGATGTTTAAGAGTTTTTCAACTGCAAGATAATTTCCAAGATATTTCAATAGCTTAAAACCTTGGACTGATAGTGATTTAATTAATGCATACTGGATGCCTTAATAGTTACTAAATAAAATGGAATAGGTTACTAAGCATAATATAAGGCTTACATGATCTTTTCTCTTATTTGGTTGTGCTACAGGAAAACAGTGTCTTTGGGTCTATGAAGAACAAGTTCATTTTTGCTACAGTGAGCAGCTGCATAAGGGATATGTATGGCTATAGAAAGTGTTTTGTATAGATATGAGCTCTGAGGTTAGAAATATGGCATGTGAGACAGTTCTCAACCACCACAGAAAGAACTACACCTACACCTATGCTTCTCAAGAGGGAGAATGACTTTTCCTCAACCAGCAGTATTCTGGGTATTTTTTCCTCCAAACTCCTTTGCATTCTTCAAAGTTCTTGAATTCATTTTTTAAGAGTCCAATTTGAGGCTCCTTATGAAAACTTCCAGCAACACTAATTTAAGACCTATCTGGTAAATTAATTGTCTTTGTGCACCTGTGTACACAAGCCAATTCTAATGAGATTAGCCTTCCTCTGTGGTAAGAGTAATCTCTTGAGATTAGTTTTCCTTGGGAGTAAAGAAAAGACTATATGGGAAAACTATGCTTCAGTGGGAAACTATGAAAAAGTGGGTCTTGAGTACACATTTCTCAGTTGGATTCTGATTTTATGGGAGTTATATCACAACTCTCAGTTGTACATAACTAATAACAATGCCTGTGTATAGAAATGCAAATGAATTCTCCACCTTCCCTCCGAAATAAAACCATTTTGATTCCATTTGCACATTCATTTCTGTGTATTGGTCTATAAAACTGTCCATTAGATTCTCCTTTGAGCTGATTGTGTCACTTAGGTTTGCTCATTAAACAAAATCCTTACTATTTCATCTTTGTATGTGTACAAAGATCCTGATATTGCCTTTATTTTTTTCCTGTTTGCTTTCTTTGTTCCTTTTCTTTCTTTCTTTTGAAAATTTTCTTAGCACTACTATTGAAGAAGTGATTTGCATACCTTGAAGAGTTTATTGTATGATGAAGGCTACATTTCAATCCAGTCAGGCAAAGACTGCTGTGTTTGTAAATGTCACTGGTGTAGTGGACTCCCTTTCAGGAAGAAAGCCAAGTTAGATCCCATGAATGGCAATATCTACAAAAATGAACTCCAAGTGGATTAAAGATTTAAATGTAAAAACCTTCATATTTAAGTTTACCTTTTACACTTCTAGAAGAACTGGATAACTTTTAATAAGGTTGAGATGATGAAGGTCTTCCTAAGCAGGACAGGAAAGGGTGATGTCCGAATATTAAGGATGCTAACTTTACCTCTCATGTGGGTGACATAAGATTCTTATCCAATGAACTAGTAGTAAAAAGACAAACATTTCCTCGTTACTTGTTTTTTGAATTTATAATGTATAGTTATTTAACATTTAAAGCTCTTTAGTCAAATTTCTCCTGTCTATTCATAAGACTTCTGATTTTCTCAGCTTCCATTAGAAAGTCTTCACCATATCAAAGTGATTCTTCTATCCATACTTACAGAGGGCTCTTTATAAACATATCAGGATAGTTATGTACCAAAGCATTTCAGGGCACTTTCTTTCCAGGAGGTAGAATCATGGATACTTTTATTCTCTCTTGGTTTCTGTTTGTCTATCTGCTTTAACCAAGCCCTTGGTAAATGTTAATTGCATAACAATCACAAAACAAATGTAATCTTCTAAGAATTTAGAATGATGTACAGTGTTTCCTCAGTTCATGAATTTAATTCATTCCATGATTCTGGAAAAAATGGTCATGGTCATGTTTATGCAGGAAAGATGGTTGTGGTCATATCTGTCACCTAACGCAGAGCTCATAAACAAAAACAGAATTCGGCCAAATGCTTCTGTTTGCAAACCTAATTGTCCACAAAAAAATGTATTCGTGAACTGAGGTGCATTGCCTACTCAGAAAACTAAGTTAAACTGAAATATGATTTCTCCTATCATAAGAAGTTCCCCTTCCCCATTCAGAGTACTAGACAGTGAGTTAGCCATTATCACATCCCCACTTACGTCAGCCCTTTGCCACCAGCCCACCCCATAGCCATGTAACCATGTCACAAGTCTGGGTGCTCCCTGTGCTCAGGAGTATGGCCATTAAAGTCTGGGCTTTGGAGTCAGACCAACTTGGAACTGGATCCATGCCCCAAGCTTTCAACCGTAGTAAAATCAGGAGTCCAGGGTCTGTTTTTCCGTGCCACGCTCTTGCCATCGCCTGCATTACCTCACAGCAGCAATACATCACCTGACTTCCCTGCACTGCTTACAGGAACATACACAGAGGAGTACAGAAGGGTAAATCAGATCCCATTGCTTCTCTGCTTAGAAATTTACAGATTAAAAACCAAAGGCAAGAGCTGGTATTTATATACTTGCCAGACAGTGTCTAGCCGGAGGAGACCTGGCACTATAAGCCTGGAGCTTGGGAAATTTAAGGAATGAGCAACTTTCCCTGGGCCAGAAGAGTTATTTGTGAAGGGATGCGGATGTGCAAGTTGGGAAGCTGCCTTACCTTCTCATGGCCATAGGAACTTCCTCCATCAGTTTGACAATTTTCAGTTTCTACTGTTCTCCTGTTGAGGACCTTCCTGGACAAGTCAGATGCAAGAAGTGCTTCTGGAGGATCTGCAAGATGATTTCTCCTTTCTGGAGTTGTTTGTATTAGACTTGGAGCCCTAGAAATTGGCCTTGATGGCGATTTCTCTTTGTAATCCCTGTCAGTAAGAATACCCTAAAAGAATGGTGGTGAGAACTCCTGGAGAATCGACCTCAACAAGAACTGACACTGCCCTAGAAAAATTGACTGAACCCCTAGGGCAGAAAGTACTAGGCACATAAGTAACTGGTAAGTCTCACAATTAGTGGAAGACAAGGCTGGAGTCAGAGACTGAACAGCGTGCTCTGTGGGAGCTCGGTTCACCTCACCACCACATCTGCCTGAAGGAGATAATTCGGGCAATGGACATCAAGCACGCATTGTCGCCCTGCAGAAAGTCCACCATCTCTCCAGGGGCTAGCTTCTGAATCCCGGAGTCTTCTCACACCAAAGGCCTGGCAGGAAAACTAAAGCACATGATTGGTTTCCATGTGAGGCCAGATCAGCCATCAATTTCTATCCCAGCATGTGTGGCATTGTGAACATGCAACCCAATTCTGTTGTAATAATGCCCAGGCTGGTCAGGGTTTTCAGCAGCCACCTGAGGCTCACAGCAGGGTCCCAGAACAGTGGCTCCTTCTTTTAACTGACTGAATCTCTCTTGTTCCTAGTTGAGGTGGCTTGCTTGAGAAAAAGTGGAAAGTTTTAACCTAAATTAAAGGTTAAGTGAGTCTTAGGTTGGGGTCTCCTC